AGGTCTATTTTTTTTTTCATTGTTTCTGGTTTATTCTGTTTTCCCCCACTAGAATGTCAGCTCTTCAAAGGCATTTTTGTCTTGCACACTGCTGGACCCCCAGCGCCTAGAATGATGCCTGGAACACAGTAGGTGCTTGATAAAGCTAGGAGGAATGAATAAGTGAATCCGGTGGTGGCAGCCAGATGTCACCTCCTTCGTGGGTCTTCCTTGATTTCACCCACAAGTGAAAGGCCTTGACCTGGGGTTCCTCCCCACTGTTTTCAGCTCGTTGCTTCTGTGTGTCTCTGGAGACTGAACCACATTCATCTCTTAGTCCCCAGCCTGGCTCTTGGCATACCACAGACACACAGGTGATCATGCTCCTAGGTCTAATTTCCACCTGTCCGCAGATCCAGCTTTGTAACGCAGGTTTATACTGCCATCTCTGTTTAATCCCCAACATAGCCTTCTGAGAGATGTGTTGATCATCCCTGTGTACAGATGTGGCCCAGAGAGGAATGGTGGTTGGCCTAAGCTCAGACAGAGCCAAGCTTGGGGCAGAGCCAAGCCTAGACCCCTTGTCTCCTGCTTCCCAGGGAGCAAAGTGCGTGAGAATTATAACCTGTGTGGGCACTTCGGGAGAATTTTAGGATCAGCTTCACCAGAGGTTGCGAATCCAGGAACTGAAGGGCCCCCAGACGAGGAGCTGGTCCAATGAGAGCCTTGGATTTGTCACAAGAAGCCAGAAATCCTAAGTTGGCAATTCACTCAAATGAAGCCCAAACCCAGAACAGATTCTTCCGTGGGCTGGATGCCATCCTCGGCCAGCAGTTTGCAAACTTTGTTCCGTCAAGATTCTACCTAGGTTCTAGAGGATCCTGTATTTTATAGGCAAGGAAATAGGCCCAGAGAGGGGAGTGATTTGCCCAGGTCGCATGGCAAGAGCCAAGATTTGAGAATCTCTGGTCTAGAGAAAGCAGTATTTTAGGGGGAGTGACACAGAGTCCCCCACCCCGGACTCAGTCCCTGCCATTCATCATAAGGCAGCCCAGGCCACCAAGGAAGAGGAAAAAATAGATGCCTAATTCCAGGGCCAGGCGGGCATGGGGAGAGCTGAGTTTCAGAAGCAAATAGACCTGGGTTCAAACTGCAGCCCAAACCCCCTTTAGCTGCGTGACATGTGATTTCCGACAAGGTTCTTCCCTCTCTGAGCCATGTCTCTCCTCTATAAGGTGGGGATGTGGTGCCCTGGGTAAGGGATGACTTGCTGTCAAGCTCAGCTGGCTCCTCGGACCACCGCATTCCACTGGCTGCGTGGGTTTTGGGCCCCCCAGGCTGGGGCTGTCTTCAAATACTCCTCACGCGCTTACCACATAGAGGGTGCACCACACCAGTTCCTGTATCATCATCATTCTCCCTGTTGCCCACATGAAGATTGTGCCAGAGCAGACTGCTTGGCTTCCAGAACAGGCCTGGTGACCCTGGAGCTGACTGCCTGTCCAGGTGCCCCCTCCCCATCGAAGCACCCGAGCAGGTGCCTAGATTCTACCAGTTAACACTTCAGTCTCTGGGTGGGAAGCCACCCCAGTCCCAGTTGCTACTGCCACTGCTCCAAAGCCCCCACAGGTTCTCTCTTCAAATTGCAAATGCCTAAGGAGATTAATACATCAGCTCCCAACAAATCATTTCAGGGCCTCTCCAGACACTCAGCGAGGGGTGGGGGTAGACAGGTGGTCTGGCAGGTTTGGGCTCCACCCCTGCCCTTTTCCAGGACCCTGCAGTCCAGCTAGTTCCTCATAGGGCAGAAACGAGCTGGAGGAAGTAATGTGGGCGAAGATGCCTCCCAGGACAGGGCTGCACAGCCCCCACCCCACCCTAGCCCCGTGTCCCTCCTTCCCTGCCCCAGGGCCACACTCTCCTTCTGGGGCCCGGCCCCTTCTGAACTACAGATGATGGACCCCATTGCCTATCAGGCCTTCCCTGCCCCCTCCCACAGCCCCCCAAACTCCCATGCCAGGCCAGAAGCCTCCTGCCCACCTTCTTGAGCTGGTGGGCCTCAGGCCCCATAGGTCCTGCCTCCTGAATGTTCTTTTCATCCCCTGACCATTGGCCTGAACCTCCTGACATGTCACTGGGCCCTGCAGCTGTGCCCAGATTGCTCCTTGACCTTTAGCCTTCCTCACCTCTGCCCACACTCCCCGCCACCCCATAGCCAGAGGGAGCTTGCTTGCTTGCTTGCTTGCTTCTTTTTCTTTCTTCCTTCCTTCTTTCTTTTCTTTCTTTTTTTATCTTTAAGTAAGCTCTAAGCCCAACATAGGGCTTGAACTCACGACCCTGAGGTCAAGAATTGTATGCTCTACCAACTAAGCCAGCCAGGTGCCCCCAGAGGGAGATTTCTAGAACTGTCTGGCCATGGCTCTCCGAGCTTCAGTCCCTTCCTCCCAGGGCTGTCATCTACTCTCAGAAGGGCAATGCTCCCGGCATTCAAGGCCCCAACTTCACCTGCCTCACTTCTTGCGTCTGACAACACCTGCCACACGTGTTTTCATTCCCTACAGCTGAGTTTAAAAATTATTGTTTCCCTGAACTTGAAAATGACCTGGGTGTCCTATATCTTAATTGGCAACCCCTGTGTCAGTTCAAACATCCCAGACATCATGAGGTTTTAGTGTAATTTTTAGTATAAGTGTGTTTTAAGTGCTTTATTTGGGACAGACTTCTACTAAAGAAGTATTCATTGTTTAGCTGAAATTCACATTTAATCGGGCATCCTATATATTTATTTGCTAAATCTGGCAACCTAGGCCGTACACAGGTCACAGGGACCAGGGGCACTGTCAGGGGGTCAGAGAGCCCCAACCTGGACCCTGAAACTCTGCCCTGCAGTCTGCCTGAAAGCCTCCTTTCCAAACCCCTACCCTGGTCCATGGAAGGTGTTGGAACCCAGAGACTCCTTGGGAGGAGCTGTTCCACGGCTGCCCACTTCTGTCCTCATTCTGGGCCTCAGTTTCCTCCTCTATGAAATGAAACTAATGGTTTCCCCACCCGGTCTCTCAGCCTCTCCCCAGGATCAAACACCTGAGTAGAGTAGGGGATTCTCAGCTGACAGCTCATGCCCAGAAGGCAAAGAGGCCTGTGGGGAGTTTCTGTTCTTTGGCTTCCTGAAGGACCTTGAGGAATGATTAGGACAAAGGTCTTTTTTTTTTTTTTTTCTTTCCCCAAAGCAACTAGTAAACCAGTTAAACCACCATAATGATAATTGATTCAGGCAAGGAGCAACCGCAAATGTGAAAACCAATGTGGGGGATGAGGACCTTCAGATAGTATCAAGGTACCTTATTGTAGGTGGACGTGGCAGCCAACACCAGGCGAGCCGTCCATCACCTGCTCTCTGATCCAAAGGAGACTAAAGAGATCTGCCAAGTGAATGCCACACTTAACCTGGGCTTAGAGCCTGAGCCAGAAAAAATAATAGCTGGAAAGGACATTATAGGGGCAGCTGGGGCAAGTGGAATGTGGACTGGAGACTAGGTCACGGTGTCCTGTCGATGTGAAAGTTCCTGAATTTGATCATTTAACTGTGGTATATAAAAGAATGGCCTTGTTCTTAGGAGAAATGTGAAGTGTTTAGAGGTGAAGGGTCCCATATCTGCACCTAACTCTCCAAGGTGCAGCAAGAGAAAACAGGAAGGAAGGGGGAGAGAGAGGTCAAATGATAACCATTGGTGAATCTGATCGTTCATCGTACTATTCTTTTTTTGTAAAGATTTTATTTGTGTGTGTGTGTGTGTGTGTGTGTGTGTGTGTGTGTGTGTGTGTGTGTTTAGAGAGCATGAGCAGGGGTAGGGGCAGAGGGAGAGGGAGACAGAGAACCTCAGGCAGACTCCCTACAGAGCATAGAGCCTGACGGAGGGCTCCATCCCATGACCCCGAGATCATGACCTGAGCCAAAATGAAGAGTCGGACGCTTAACTGACTGAGCCCCCCAGGTGTCCCTCGTGGTACTCTTCTTGCAATTTCTCTGAACATTGGGTATTTTTCCAAGTCTGAGGGCACCCAGAAATAAAATATCAGAAGTAGAAGTGGTCTTGAAGACACTGTGCCCTCCCCAACACCCACAGCCATCCTTTCTCAGAGGGGTACCCTGAAAGGGGAAGGCCTGAGCCTGTCACACAATGAATGGCAGTGAAACCTACCCTCTTGGTTTGAGTCTGAAGAGCAGGAGAGGGCCACCTAATCAATGTCATCCCAGCTCTTTTCTCAGAGCCCCACATACTCCCCAACACTATGGCCACCCTATAGACCTGCAGGCGTAAGCTACTCCCTTGGAGTCTGGGTAGGAATCTATCCCTCTCTCTCCAAAGAAACAGAGCCACAACTCCCTAAACCTGCATTCCCTACCACCCCTGAATAGACATCCCACCTCCCAAGATGCATGCAGGATCAGACAGGAAGGAGAAGAGGGAAGCTCAGAGAAAAGGGGACAGGAATTGTAACGGTGTCCCCTGGAAAGCAACAGGCCTAGGGTCTCTCTCGGCCATTGTAAGCAGATCCAAACCCCAGGAAGGAACTCTGTTGGGAGTTGAGGCCCAGACCAATAACTGGGCAAAATAAATGCACCTGGACCCGTCCCTTTTCAGGGATGGGGGCAGCCAGAGGACGGGATTGCCGGGCCTGGGGTCCGAGCCAGCTGGATGGTGTGGCTGCAAGGGGTCTCTGGGGATGCTGGAGTTGGCACCATCCAGAGCTCATAGCAAATGTCCTGACCACATGCGAGCCTCAAGCAGACAAAATCTGCCCCCAGTTTTGGCTTCAGCTTCAATTTTTGTCCACTTGTGTGCCAGGTTTGGCCTCTCCAAGTTCATGTGTAGCCATGGAATGTGGTCTCACAAGCAAGCAGGAACCAACACCCGTGTGAGGCCAGGCCTGGCAGGTGGGTCACTTTCTAGGGAAGCTTCCAGAAGTAACTAGGAGTGAAATCTCCTTTTGTGCTTTACATACTGAGGTGTGTTAGTGGGTTGAGGTGTGAACACAGACAGGATTTATTACAGAGAGAGCAAAATGCTTCAACAATTTATGTTGATTATGAACAATGTTAATTTTATATGCAGAAAAAATGAAGAGGTTCAAAGAGAAAGTGGATAATTAACATAATCTTATGAGAGGCAGTAATAACGTGATAACTTTAGGAGGAAAGCCATTTCCTTTTTGAGTCTACAAATGCATCTAATAATTTAAATAATAATACAAGACAGAAAAACAGATTTCATCTTAATTCCGATTTTGTAGGATTGTTTGCTGGACTAGCATTTATAGCCTTTGTCTAAATGTTATTTAAGTTTTGTTTGTATATTTAATGCCATTTAAGGGATGAATGTTTCGAGGAAAAGCCCTATATGGGAATTCTTCAAGGCTTGTGAGGATGGATGATCAAAAGGAGAAAGCCAAGTTAGTCACCTCCAGATTTCACAAGGAGAACAAACGCCAACATCACATGTCCACATTTGTGATCATCATCATCATTAAAGAACATGAAGAAAACCAGAAATGACTGTGGCAGATGAGGTCAGGGGTGATCTGCTCCTGGGCCTCAGCGGAAGGCGTTGTGGACAAGGGTGCTTGTCCAAAGAAGCACCTACTCGTGGGAAGTTACTGGTTGCACACCCTGAACTTTCTGATTTCATTACTTCCTTTGTAATACCAAAATTGTGATCAATAGGGGCACCTGGCTGGCTCAGTCCATGGAATATGCAACTCTTGAATTCGGGGTCCTGAGTTTGATTAAGCTCCGTGTTGGGCATAGATTACTAAAAAAAAAAAAAAGAGAGAGAGAAAGAAAAAGAAAAAAATTGTGATCAATAAAACTGAAATCATACCTAACTGATCTGCTGTCACATTTACCCTTATATTCTATGGTAGTAGATCCCTTTCTCTGTTCCTCCCTCTACGCTGTCCCCTGTTGCCTTTTAAAACCAGCCATTTACTCCCTCACATGCCTAAATCCTCCAGGGCTCCCCACATCCCAGTCCCCCCTACCCAGGTCCCCATACTGCCTCATCCTGACTTCACATCATCCCATTGTGCCGCCAGCTCCAGCTGTATTGGTGTCCCCTGGAAAGCAACAGGCCTAGGGTCTTTTTGCAACGCTGTGTCTCTCCACCTTGTTTCTACCTCCAGGTTCTGCCCAGCTCCTTCTGCCTGGAAGGCCCAGTTCCCTGCCTGGTCAGCATCACAATGCAGGGACACGACGCCTGGCAGCCTAAGCAGTCAGACTACCAGGAGTTCACATCTGGGTCCAAGACCATTCCTGAGACGAAGGCCACAGAGCCTCCCTGGACCCAGCATGGGCTTACACAGAGGCGGTACTGTTAAATTCGCTCATTCAACAAGTATTTATTGAGCAACCACTATACCCTAGCCTCCAGGCATGCAGGGGACTTCAAAGCAGAGTTGGGGGGCCTGTGGATGGCTCAGTGGGTTAAGCATGGGACTCTGGATTTTGGCTCAGGTCATGATCCCAGGGTCCTGGGATTGCACCCCATCAGGCTATGCGCTCAGTGTGGGTGGGGGATCTGCTTGAGGATTCTCTCCCTCTGCCTCTCTAATAAATAATTCTTAAAAAAAAAAAAAGTCTTGCCCTCAGGGAGCCCACAGTCCGCTGGGATGCGGTGGGCCTGGGGGCAGACCACTCCCCCTGCCCCCAGGGAACCCAGTGGGACGACTTCAGCTCCAGGCCAAGTGCTAGGAAGACCACAGGGGCGGGGCAGGCTTTGTTGAGGAGGGAACGTTTGACCTGCAGCCAAACAGTAAGCCGGGGCTGGCTCTGAGGCAGTTGGGGACAGTGTCCCGGAGAGAGGGAACCGCGAGTTCAAAGGCCTGGAGGGGAACGGAGCTAAGCAGTGTCAGGACCCGGGGCCCAGCACCCCGCTAGGTGCCTCCGTCAGAGTTTAGGCCAGGCGTGGCCTGGTGGTTTCCGGATTTTATGTTCCGGATCCCATCGAGGGGGGGCGCCATCTTCCCCCCATTCTGCTGACAAACGGGACCCAGGGCCAGCCAACGTCCCACCCCAGGCGGCCCCGCGGGCCATGCCGGCCGCGCGCTCGCGTGGCGACCCCACCGCCGCCCGCCGCTGCAGCGGGCCACGTGCCGTGCGCGGGGTCTCCCGTCGCCCCTTCCCCGCGGCGGCGTGCGGGGCGGGGCCGCCTGGGCCCACTCGGCCCCGCCCCTCCCCCGAGGGTGACGCGGCCCAGGGGCGGGGCCTGGGCGCGGCGGCCGGACTGTCTCGGCTGCGGCGGAGCGAGCACCGTGCGGCGCCACCATGGGGGCCCAGCTGAGCACGGTAGGCGGGGAGGGGCGCGGGGGGGCGCGGGGGGCCGCGGGGACGGGGGCCGCGGGGACCCCACCCGGCCCGCCCGGCTCCGCGCGTGGCCCGCGGGAGCCGCGGCTCACGCCCCGGCCCTCAGTCGCCGGGACCTAGCCCTCCTGCCCGGGGGGCGTGCGGGCGGCGGGCCCCGGGGGCGGGCGGGCACCCGGCTGATGGGCACGGGGGCGCCCCGCCCGCCCGCATTCCCCCCCCCGCCCCTCACATCCCGCCCGGTCCCGCCCAGTGGAGGGAGGAGCGGGTGCCTCCGTGAGCCGCGCGAGTGAGGGTGGGAGAGGGTGTGGCGGGGAAAGTTGGAGTGTGACCGAGTGTGCTGGTGAGCGAGTGTGGATGTGCAGGAGTTTGAGAGCGCACGTGTGTGTCTGAGCGTGAATAAATGACACGACTAGGTGTAATGTGAAGTGTGAGTGTGCACGAGAGGGCGTGTGAGTGTGAATGCACACGAGTTTGTGATTGCAAATACACGGCTGAATATGTGAAGTGACTGGGTGTGAAGTGTGAGTGAATGTGCGTGAGTTTGAGAGTGCAGATGTGTGGCTGAGTGTGAATCTACGAAGTGGGGGTGGTGGGCAGTGTGAGTGTGGAGGTGTGAGGCTGAGACTGAGCGAGTGAGCAGGTAGGAGTGAATGTGTGTGAGAGCATCCGAGAGCACGTGAATGTGGGAGTGGAGTATGTGTGTACTGTGGTCAGGTGGCAGCGTTTGTGGCTTCTCTGGGCCACAGTGACCGCGCTGCAGTCTTGTCTCCTGCTGGGAGGGGCCCTGGGGCGCAGCCAGGCTTGGCTCCGGCTCTCCCGTGAATGCTAGAAGCTGACAGACTTGTGAGCCCCGTTTCAGAGATGAAGAAATGCACCTCACACTTGGCCACCTGCCTGTGCCTGGCAGGGCCTGAACTTGTGGGCTCCGAAGTCCACCATCATGCTGCCACTTTTGGGTCGGCCCAGGGCCTCCACCCCACCTGCCTCTGCTCTTGGATTTCTCAAAAGCCACAATGGCCGGGCTGGGGCCCTGTGCTGCGTGTGAAGGCTGTAGCCAGAGGGCAGCCTCCCATGCCCTTAGACGTACTCTGGTCCCTGGTGCTGGCTTGGGCGCAGGGAGCAGGCCACAGGCCTGGCACTGAGGACTAGGCCCACTTGCCTCCACTGCCATCGCCACCCCAGGTGCCTGGGACTTGGAGGGTGCCTGCTTCCTCCCTCTGGCTCTGTGAGGCTCCTCCTCACGGTGAGGCAAAAGGCTTCTTGGCCTGGGTACTTGCTCATGAAGTTGTGTCCCAGCCCAGGACTCTGGGGGACATTCAGACCAAGGAGCAGCCTTGCCCAGGGCGAACCTGTGGGCATTACTCAGCTTCAGAGTAACGTCCTGACCCTCCTCCTCCATTACTCAACCCCCTGACCCCCCCCCCCCCCCCCCCTTTTTCCCCCCCCTCCCCCCCCCCCCCCCCCGCTCTGTTTTCCAACGCTTCTCACCTTCTAGCTGGTGTTGGTAGGATTTGTCAGTGCGTCCCCAGCGTGTGGCCGCTCCATACGTTTTTGCTGAAGAGCCAAGGCCCTCTGGCAACCCCCCTGTGAGGGGCAGAGCCCTGTCTGGAAGTCAGGAGACTCACCAACTCCACGGCCTCCTCGGTCCAAGGGGCCCACTGAGGACCCGCAGCTGTGCTGGGGGCAGGGGGGCCACAGTCCCAGATGGTAGGCCAGTTGCCCAGCGTTCCCCCCCGGTGGCTGGGCAGGAATTGCCCCTTCCTTGTGTGTGCCGTGCTGGGATCCCCACTTAGCCCGAAATACCCACAGCAGACCCGAGCTAGGCCTCCTGGCACACAGTCTCCACAGGGTCTGCGGGAGGCTGGCTCGGGCTCTGGGCCCCAGACGTCTTATCGGGGATGTGCAGGCTCTGCAGGAGGCCTCCTCCCATACTCCAGGGGGCCCCAGCTGAAGGGGTGGCACTTGAGTCTGTCAGCCACCCGGGGGGAACACTGGGGGATTGGCCCGCCATCCAGGACTGTGGCTTCCCTGCCCCCAGCACAGCCGTGAGTGCTCAGTGGGCCCTGACAGGCTGACATCACAGGTAGAGTCCCAGACTTGCCACTGTCCTCGCCCCCCTCCCCACGCCCCGATGTGCCTCGTCTGTGGCCCTCATCCCTGGCCCCAGGAAAGCAGGGCTGTGTCTCCCCTGCTGAGAGCAGCGTTGCTGTGCACCTGCCCCTCCTCCCGAGTTCCCCTCCCCCACAGTTCCAAGCCAGGAGCCCCCCTCTGCAGAACTTCCTCCACCCCCTCCTCCACTTCCTTCCACTTCCTGAGAAGCGGACCAGGAGGGGGGTGGACACTCAGATTGCAGCAGGACAGCTGGTGGGCGACAGGCAGGTAAGGCTCAGCACACGGAGCTGCCACCTGGGAGGGCTCAGTCTGCCCACACAGACCTAACCCGGGTAGAGTGGATGCCACGGTCGGTGTAGGGAATTCCACAGGCTGAGCAGCAGGGCAGGGTGCCCCGTGGAGGGTAGCAGGGCTTCCCAGGCCCTCAGCAATGGTGGGCGAGCTGGGGGCTCCCTGGAGACATCCTGGGACTCTGGCTGCCCCTTCTGTGTCAGCAGAGGTGAGGAAAGGCAGGTGCTGGGTTCCCTGGTGGGCAGAGCATGGCCTGGGGGGCATCAGGTCAAGGCCTGGGAGGCCCCTTGACTTGCTGCAGGACCACAGACCCACCCCCGCAATGGCTCCAATGGCTGTGGTGACATGGGTATGTGCGTATGTGTGTGTACATGTGTGTGTCTGTGTATGAGCAGCTCGGCTGAGGAGGAGCTGGGGTGGGGCCTTGGCCTCAGCCGTCTGCCTCCTGTTTACTCTGCCCACGGCGGGCAGGGCTGGGGGGCGGGTGCAGAGTTGCGGGAACCCAAGTTATGGGAACAGGGCATCCCTGCCCCTTGTGAATCTGGCAGAGCCTTCAATTTTTGGGAGATGAAGCCACTGTACCCTTTCCCCTGACTGTGTCTGGCTTCCCTGCTGGCTTGAGCTCCTCAGGGGCAGGGTCCCCTGGCTTGTGTCCCCCGAATCCAGCGTGAGCCCTGGTAGGTGTGCTCCTGGGGGTTTCTGGCCTGAAGGACGAGCTGCCCACAGCGGCCTCCCGGGTAGGGATGTTGTGCATGCCAAGTCCACCTCTGCTCTCTCAGGGGCCGCACGGTGCCCACGGGCACAGAGGGGCAGTGTTGTACGGTGACTCAGTGCGTGGACTCGAGCCAGATGCTGGGGTTCAAATCCTGGCCCTTGGACCAGGTCTGTCATCGGGGCCTCAGCTTTCTTGCCTGGAATGGGAGTGGTGATAGCTCCCGTCTCCGGGCTTCTGGATTATGGGAAATAATTATGCGCAAGGTGGCTGTCCGGTGCTCTGCAAAGCCCAGTCCCTGGCAGTGGGCACTGGAAGGGAGGCGGCTGACCTGTATCACCTGCCCCCGTGGGCAGCTCCTTCCGGCCATGGCACTGATCCTACCATACCTCTGGAACGTGGGTGTACCTAACAGGATCGAAGCTAGGATCCTAGCCGCCTGGGCCTGTGCTCTGTGGAGGGCTGTGGGTTTTTAAAAGCAACAGGGTAAGCTGGTAGGCCCATGCCTGTCCGGGAGGGACCTGGCCTCCTGCCCTGGTTTCTGAAACTTCCAGACAAAATAAAAAGAGTCAGAGAAAGACCTGGAGTGGGGGCGGGGGTGGGGCTTGTTGTTGTCCCTTCACAAATTTATCCACAAATATTTACTGAGTGTCTCTGCTCTGAGCGCTGGGGGTGCCGTGGTGATGAGACACCCAGATGCCACCACCCTTCTGGGGCTTCTGCTCTGGGATCTGCTGTTCCCTGTCAGCTGTGACCACATGTGGGCACTGGCCCCAGCTGTTTGAGCCCAGGCTGGCATCCGGGGTCCCCGAGGCTGGGACCTGGCACCTGGAAGGTCTGTGCTAGGGCTGCAGCCCTTATTCAGGACTTGCCTTCAGAGTTGTTGACTTAGGAATCGTTTTCACTGCCAGTGTTTGTGGGCTTGGGGCAGGTGAGAGATAAGTGACAGAAAATTGGGAACCCAAGCCCAGATTTCACCCTGGGCCTCCCTGAGCCTCAGTTTCCTCATTTGTCAAATGAATGCAGTTGGCCCATCTCCCACTGGTGTGGGTGGGTCATAAAGGAAATGCAAGGGAGCGAGCTGCAGGCCAGGGGGTCTTATGTTATTAAACTTGGCTGTGCACTGGGGAAAATAAAACTCCAGGGAGCACCAAACACAACTCCAGCTGGCTCTTACTGTCATTTCAGTTCATCTCCAGGGCTCCCTACAATGGTTTCCTGTAACTTCACTTTCTCCCTCAACAGTGTTCCCAATGGATATGGCTTCTCTGGGAGGGGCCTGCAGAATCTCCTCACCCCCACAGACCATGCAGAGGGGAGCAGGGGCTGTGGAAGTCCACTGAGGGCCTGATTAACTAGGGAGGGGCTAGTCAAGGAAGATTTGACATTTGAACTGGGCTCTGAAGGATGAATAGGAGTTTCCTGTTTGGATGAGGGAAGAAAAAGGGCATTTGGGGCAGGAAGAAGAGTATGCCAAGGCCTGAGGCAAGAAGGGCTTTTGGCCAGAGTTGTAGCCTTACAGTAAGGGGCCTTGGTGTAGGCAGTGGGGAGCCGTCACGGGTGTTTGAGGAGGGGGTGGGTGCCCTGTTGGCTTGGCAGTTGGGGCCTCATTGTGGGAGGCAGGGTATCAGACTGTGGTGGAACAGGTGGGATTTGGGCCTCGGGCTCTGTGGTCGGGGTCACAGAGAGGGCACCTGTCCTGGGAGGTGGCCTAGGAAGAGCTAGACAGGCCTGGTGTTGAGTCCTGGCTCCACCCCTTGACTTGCTGCAGGACCACAGGCAAGTCACTTAACTGAGAAACGGGGACAGTAGTATCCCCTGTGAGTGTGGTCCTCTGAGGATTGGCTTTGGTGCGATTAGGGCAAGATACTGGCCTTCCCTGCGTCTGTTTCCTTATCTGTAACCTGGTGATAATCATGGAGCCTCTGGCCTGAGGTCGAAAGGAGGGTTCTCCCAGGTTGCTCACGTCCCATTCGCCGAGCGTTGCCAGCTTGGAAATGTTTGCCGGCCTGTTCTGTGTGTGGCCTGTTCCATCTCCGCCCCCCCCCCACGCCCACCTCCCCAGCCCTAGATGGGACCGTCCACTTGCAGTTGAGGAGGGTGGGGCCTGGAGAGGCTGAGATTCTCTCCTGAGGTCCTGAGCTGGGGTTTCAGACCTGGGCCTTCTGACCCCTGGGTTCAGGGCTGCCAGCCAGGCCCCTTAGTGAGACCCAGCATGGGCGAAACGCTGTGTGGTGCCTGGGATACGGTGGGTGCTGGTTAAATGGGCAGTGGCCAGAGACCCCTGCCACGTGGCCCCAGCCCCTGCTGTGATGGGTGGGGTTGGAGAAGGGAGCCCTGGCTGGCTCCCAGGGGCCTTTCCTTCAGACTCATTAGTCACAGACCAGGGGCTCTGTGGGGTGGGGCCTAGGCTGTAGCCAGCCTAGAGGCCCTGCCCGGAAGAGAAGGCATATTGTTCTGAGCCCAACAAAGGGCCTGAAACCACAGCTGCGACAAGGTAACTTGAAGCCGCTGGGCCAGTTTGGGGAGCAGGGGCCAGGCCTGCCATGGGATCTTGTGCTTCTGCCCTTCCTTCACCGGGGTGTTCCGTCTCCCCGGTGGTGGAGGCCCATTGAGGACGGCAGGAAAAAGCTCCTGTGTGTGCACCCACACTCCTCTGTGACCTGGGTGCCCCCATCTCCGCTCATACCCCGGCTGTCCCAGGAGGTGGGCAGAGCAGTAGCTCTTACCTACCTTCTACCGATGAGAACGCACTGAGGCTCGGGGGGGCCTCGGGTACTCAGCCAGAGCGCCCTCCCTGGGTTGATAGAAACTGGGGAATCCTGGCAAGGCTTCGAGGAAGCCGGGGAGCCGTGGGTCGGACCTTGAGAGGTGAGGGTCCTCTCACCCAGCCACTTCCAGGCCCATGCTCTGCAGAATATGCCATCTCCAGAAGCCCACAAAGGAAGCAGAGAGGCCTCCATGCAAGCAAAGAACTTGGCTCTGAGCTTCCGGACAACCAAGTAAAAAAGGGGAACTTGTAGAATGATGGTAAGGAGAACACATGGTCATTTGCTGAGAGAATTAAAGTCAGGGAGGTGTGCTAGTGATGCTTGGAGAACAAAATGGGAGCCAGCTTTCCGGAGAAGCAGTGTTCTGTGTGGACTTTTGGATCTCAGCCTTACTGTTCAAACCACCAGTGTGGGCTCCTCCCCACCCCACCCCCACTTTTTATTTTGAAATAATTTCAAACTTACAGTAAAGTTGCAGTAATGTGGAAAGAACCATTGTATACTTTTTGCCCAGATGGACCCAGTGTTAACATTTACTATATTTGCTTTATTGTGGGTGTGTGTATATTTTATTTATTTTTTTAACTATTTAAGTTACAGGTACGATGCCCCTTTACCCCCTAAGGACAAGGCCTTTCTGTTGCCTAATTACAGGACAGGGATCAAATCAGGAAAGTAACATTGATGCAATGCTCTTATCCTTTTTTTTTTTTTAAGATTTGTATGTATTTATTTGAGAGACGAGAGAGAGAGAGAGAGACAGCGCACGAGTGAGCAGCAGGCAGAGGGAGAAGCAGGCTCCCTGCTGGGCAGAGAGCCTGATGCAGGGCCAATCCCAGGACCCTGGGATCATGACCTGAGCCAAAGGCCGACGCTTAACCAACTGAGCCCCCCAGGCGCCCCTGAAATGCTCTTATCTAATCCATGGGTCTTAATTCAGATCTCACCCATTGTCTCAATATTGCCCTTTATAGGGGTGCCTGGGTGGCTCAGTTGGATGAGCATCCGACTCTTGATTTCAGCTC